GCAAGTGGTAATTTAAAATAACACTTTGTTGAATGATAAACTTAATGATTGACTGAATGCAATATGTTAACGACCTTACACAGCTGTTACAAAATCAGTGTATTGTATTAGTTTAAAGTCTTTGGAGTGGAACTAGGAGATTGTCTCTTTCAAAACAGTTTAAAGAAACAATGTATTCTACAAAACTAGTGTTTGACTTCATCAAAAAGTTGCAATGTAACACTGGGATCTTCCTGTGGGCTTTGTACAGCATATATAAGCTCTACTCATGTGTAGTAGCTATCCCGCGTAGTATAGTTAGTACACATAGCCTTATACGTACTTTCTGTGACAAGTACGAAAAGAAAATGAATGCTTCTGTATAGCTATCTTCTAACTAACTCAGACATTGTGTAAACAGTTAGAAGCCTTACAAATGTGGGTTTATCGAAGATTTTTTAAAATATCTTGGACAGACAGAGTCACCAATGACAACATGTTGTGCAGGATGCACAGAGGCTTGGAGCTCCTGAGAACAGTAAAAAGGAGGAAGCTGCAGTATTTCGGGCACATCATGCGGAGTGATAAATACTTTCTACAGCAACTCATTTTGCAGGGAAAAGTCCAGGGCCGCAGAAGACGTGGTAATAGAAAAACCACATGGCTTCAAAATTTTGTAGAGTGGTTTAACATAAGTACCACAGAACTGTTCCTAGTTCCAAGTTCACGGACCCAAATTGCCACAATGATAGCCGTCTTCCTTCCGAAATGGATGAAGAAGATCACCCCAAGATGAAGAAGAAGTGTAGCTACCCTTAAATTAATAATGTACCTCTTATTTTGTTTAGTAATTAGCAGAATTGGTGCATGCAGAATTTAAAATGAGACTGAATTTATTCTATTAAAAGCGAAAACATGTAAGCGAAATTACATTTTTTCGTGCAAAGTATATTTGGTACCTTCAGAGATTTTCTGCAAATATGCAGAAATTTTTTTCTCGTGTGTACAAAAATTCACAAATTCATGATTCAAAACATTGTATCTAATAGGAGTCGATTCCTACTATTCAATATGTACTATTTCAGCCCAGTTGTAAATACCTGGTAACCATTGATGGATGACATTTCCGTCTAGACGAAGCTAAAAAGTAAAAGTCTCAAATTAAAAGTGAAACGGACCTCGATGCAGAAATAATGGGAGCAACGCTTTTTACTGTGTTGGCGCATGTGTGCTCACCAACTCGGAGGCACGAGGCCGTAGTACAGAGATGAACAGTATATCAATAATACTTTACTTTAATTGTGAGGAAAGTAAGATCATTCATTCCTTCGAGACAATATTATCAACTTCAACTTTATTTTTGGTACAGGCTGCTTGTGGTAAAATTAGAATTTGCAAGGGAGACGTTGAGATTCTGATAATAGTGTGTTATAAAGCCTTCCAGAATAAAAAGTAATTCAAATCATATTTCGAAAGATTTAAAAAGAAAGTGTTTATGTACGGCCAGCATTCATGTTATATACATAGAAGATATATTGATTATTTATTATAGTCAATCTTCATAGTACGTAATGAAACATTGTCCTCAAGACTCCAGGTGCCTTGTCAAACCACGGGTAGCGTAAGCTACCGCTACGCGGTATTCCACACAAACGAATTTGATGAATTGTACTGGATGAAAATCGGAGTAGCAGGTCATTCGAATACCACTTCGATTATTCATCGAATTTTCAGTCTGAATCACTTTCAACGTTGCAGTTCTTGAGCCTAATTCTCTTAACTTGAAAGTCAGTCTGACGTACGTGAGGCGCACTATAAGTTTCCGGAATGAATAAGAAAAAATACTATAAATGGTCAGAAATGAATTTATTGTTTCTCAAAATATTCTCCGTTAGCTTTAATGCATTTTTTATGCGAATGAACCAATTTTAAAAACGTTTATGCCACTCTCCGTGACAATCTCTGAAACACATTTTTCATACTCTTCGACAGCCTCTTCTGGTGATAAAAATCGTTGAATGCGTAACTGGTTCTTAATTTTTGGAAATAAATAAAAGTCACAAGTCGGGACTGTCCGCGGGATAGCTCATAAGGTCAACGTTGTTCACCTTCAAAAATTAATTTGTCTGTCTGGCCGTGTGAGAACTGGCATTATCGTGGTGCAAGATGATACGAAGTTTACGGCTATTTTTATGGAATTTGTCAATAACTTCCGGCAAACAAATGGTCGTGTACCAATCACTATTCACGGTACAACGATTCTCCACAGCAGCAGTAGCCACGTGTCCAGTTTTATTTAAAAAAGAAGCAATCATCCACTTTGGCTGGTTTCGGCTCATCTCGAAAGACCCATACGCTCGATTGCTGCTTTGTTTTGGGATCGTAACTATAAATCCATGTTTCGTCACCTGTTACTATGTCCCACGCCAAATTTGACGCCCCTTCGTTGAATCTGGTAAGCATGGCATTACACCAAGTGACGCGATCTGTTTTTTGAGCCTCAGTCAAATTGTGTGGGATTCACCGAGAGCACAGCTTTTTCACACCCAAATGTTTGTGTAGTATTGATTGTATTTGACTCATGCCTATGCCTAAAAGATGCCCGAATCTCATGATATGTCACATGCCTGTCTGTTTCGATCATACTGCGCACAGCATCGATGTTTTTGTTGTTCACAGCAGTGGACGGCCGACCATCACGAAATTCGCCACTGAGATTCACATGACCGCGTTTGAATTCTGCAAACCAGCTATAAGCTTCATTGCCAAAAGTTAAATCCGTGGTGATGTAGACAATTTCTAAAATGACGCCACATTGCAAAAACAAGTGACAGTCAGATGAAACAAACTGTGTTCTACAGCCAAAGAGTTCCATTTTCATATGTTATAATTACTTTTTAAATGTTGGTTATGTAAGTGGCCAGTTATATATAGAAAACAAATTGGAATATCCAGGTCAAAATCCATTAGCATTTAAATTTCTGAAGTCCATTAATGTACGATTGTATGATTTGATATTTCACACTAAACATCGGGCTGATTTCAAACTTCGCGTTTGGGGCCAGATTATTCGCTCAGTTACTTCCGACTTAGTTCTGTACAAACATAAGCTTATTGAACCCTCGACACAAAACTCATTGACCTGTAAAGTTTATTTCATCATCATTCAGTTGCCTTTGAAATCATTGGCTTCGCCAATCAGTTTTCCCTTTGAGATAGCAGAAATTAGTAATTATTATTTTATAATAAATTTTGGAAACTACCCTCAATATAATGAATCCCAGAGTTGCTAGCTTTATTGCGGTGCATTGTCAATTTCCATGACAAATCATTAGCGCGGAATTCAGAAACCCAGGAAGTAAGGTGAATTTGAGTTACTGTATATCATCGAAGGCTATTCGGTTCGGCTAGGCGCGTTATCCGGTTTGGATACCGGCCGACAGTTCATTCACCTTGCCGCATTGTAGACGACGCAGTTTCTCCAGGTTGCCTATAGCCAACAGTGCCATGAAGGGGAGGTCAAGTTTTTTATAATAAGCTTCGCACAGAAAGCTATACGTAGGTATACTGTATAATATAATATACAGTTGACGATCTCTGGTAACGTAAGTGCAGGAAAACAACAAGAATACAAATTTGTGTCCCGCAAATGCATTACTTGTACCTGGAGTGTATGTTTTAGAACTTATAGAAGATATCGGAATGTGTCATTTCTACCTACTCAATTCACCTTCTCAATCTACCTACTGAAATACCCAAAAAAAAAGTAATCACTGTAAATGGACCACCAGTATAACAAGTTTAAAAAGAATTTACTTACTGATGAAGTTTCTTCTCGTAAAAAGTAATCACTGTAAATGGACTACCTGTATAACAATTTAAAAAATAATTTACTTACTGATGAAGTTTCCATTCTCGTAAGAAGTGTTGTCGAGTTAATTAATTTTTTATATTAGTTTGAAGTTATAATTGTTGAAGTTCATTTGCTGGTTTGAAAACTATTCAACTATAACCCAATAAAATAAGGTATAAATACAGTTTGGTCATGTAGCTATCGTGCAACGAGTCATTGTGTTTTTTGGTAATGTTTTTGTATATTCACGACAGGAATTCGCCAGGGAAGTACTGCCACCTTACCTATTTCTTCTTTCTAAGCAGTAATGTGAGCAACGTGTGAGCGCAACGGTAGTGCCCTTCAGATCTTTGCGATTTAAAGCTCTGAGTGGCACTGCAACTGTTATGGACCGGCTTACCACCAGGCGCGCGACTAGTTCGTCTCGTTAAATTTTCTAAAATATCTTAACATTAAAAACTGTCTAAAGATTTGGTGATAGTCTAGATATAAAGTTGTAGTGGTGTAATTATTACGTCCTTGAAAATTAACAATTACGTACACATACTTCACTAAAAAACATTGCGATTTCAACCACAAACGTGACCACAAATCTAATTTGACTTTATTTATTAAAAAGGATTGGTTATCTCAGATTTACCTTATCATTTATACACCCTTGTTTGCTTGTTTGGTTTCATATTCGGTAAAACCTAAATTAGGACTTGCATTGATTTCAATCGATTGATTTCATCGCCATTTTTAAAATTAGAAAAGAAATGTTAATTCGTTCAATTTAATGGACTTACTAAATGCTGGCTTCTTGATGTTGCGTATTGTGTATTTTTTTTAATCATGGAACAGCCATGGTATCCTAATGACTGCCTTTCAAGTAGAGGGTTGTGCGTTCTAATCCAGGCTTGCACTTCTGAGTTTTTCGAAATTCGTATGTAGAATTTGATGTGAAATGATGATGAATCATGAGCTTTCTGGTGAAAGGAAACATTGTGAGAAAACCTGCACACATCAATCTGCGAAGCAATTTTGTGGTATATGTGAAGGTTCCAAACCGCACTGAAACCGCGTGGGAACTACAGCCCAAGCCCTCTCATTGTGAGTAGGAGCATGTGCCCAGCAGTGGCCTATATATATATTTATATTATATTAATAACAAAATCGTAATTTCATTGGAACAGGAAAAATTATTTCCGTATGCGGAAGAGAACGTGAAAGAATTCCTGGACAGCCAATGGGAGACCGAGGATGTGAAGGAGGTTGTGTCGGCCCTCAGGAAGTTGTCGCTTGAAGACCAGGAGAACAGCGTTGAGGGCGTCGTAGTTATTCCAGGAGAGGTATGTGTTTGCGTACAAGTATGTATTAATTTAATCACCCATTGACCCTTGGGTAGAACATGTCCAGCAATTTGCTAAATTTTTTGCTATTCCTGGCAAGCCTTCTTCGCGTACTTTTTCCGTTTGTTTCTTGAGACGCGCATTTTTCAACACTCAAGATCTAATGGTTTCTCAGCGAGACGTGATCTTCCTGCTATGAACCTGTCTTTGTGGTAACCGATTGTAACGAAAGCAGTATAGGTTGGCGGACAAAAGAAATTAAAATGAAAATGTCGTTAATTCGGTATTTATTCGGCAGAGTTACGCTGTATTAAGGTAGATAGATATATGTATATACTAGAATTCAAAATCTTAGTACATGGATGAGAGACGACGCACTGAAAATCTATTTGGAATTAATAATAAATCGAACACAGCATCAAACTATCATCAAGCTATCAGTTCTAAACAAGAATATAAATTTTGAGAGGAAGTATTAATTTAGTACTAGTAGTATCTTGAAACTAAGTGGCGTTGTATAACTATTTTATATAATACATTTCTAATTAGTAATTCTAGGATTGTGAGAAACTAATAATTATTTATCATTTTATTTACAATTATTTCTATTTATATTTATTAAATGTATTTGTAATTTTAACTATGGATCGAGGGCTTCATGTGCGGATGGTGGTGGCGCCACCAGTGGACATCGAAGCTAACACGATATTAGAAAATAAACAAAAATATTTTTTTTTATTATGGCTGGTTAGTTTCACAAATTCATACTTATATTAGTAAGAAATAGCTAAGATAAAATACAAAAGGCCGATCTATCGAGGTACACTGTTTCGAAAGTGTAGTGTATATATCGACTGAAAATTGACGTGTTAATGCGGTCGGCTATCATCTTAAGGATACCGTTGGCGCTCCCCCGTATACGACGTATCATTGATGCTGTCTTTTTGCGTGGTATGGCATAAAAATCGTTTACATTCGCAATATCGCGGGACCCTCAACAGTGCCCTAAAACATTAATGTATTGGATCCGCAAGGAATTGAAGGATCACTGCCTAAAATTATCCCACATGTACGGAATAAAGTCAACTTTAATTCAATACTGCATCGAGCAAACATGTGCGCCAACATACCGCCTCGTACCCACAACGCCCTGCGTTCCCTCTCCAAGTCCATGTCACCTTTCAAATCCTCTATCACGATATGGCACAAGCATTTAAAATGAGTAGCGCGGTTTAAAGGAATACCGCTAACCGAATAGGAGGTACATTCAATGGTCCCTTATTTCTTCCTTTAAGAACCATAAACTCAGTATTTTTTGTATTGTACTTTAAACCGTGTTGTTCAACGTATGGCTCACAGACTTCCAACAAACATTCTTCTAATACCGGCCAATGACGGGCTCAGAAGTACCATGTCGTCGACATAACTAATATTATTAACACTAATGTTATCTATTCTGCAACTAGCATGCATGCTGCTGAGTGTGCCAATCTGATCTACATATAAATTAAAAAGTCTGGGCGAGGTCAGTCCACCTTGTCTCACACCACAATTAAGTACATATGGGTCAGAAAAGGCAGTCGCCCACTTAACTACATTAATTTGACTTTGATACCAATGTGAATATAGTTGTATTACTTTATGCGGTACACCTAACTCTCTTAACTTAGCCCAAAGGATATCATAAGACACTAATGCTCGTATTCCAGAACTCAACTCAATAATCGTACTTCCAGTGCTTGAAATCATACTCTGGTCCTGACTTGAGCAATGAGTAGAGTTCTGGAATATGACCCTTAGGCAGCGTTAAGTAGCGTTCTGGAATAAGACCCTAAGATAAGCCTTAGATAAATTATTAAAACTACCGTGTATTTAGTGGTTACAAATTGCGCAATTGGTATTAGAGTGCCTTAGAAATCGTTTCACATCTCGTTTTTTCGTATGAATGTCTACTAGCAACAGCAGTAAACATAGTTGTTAACAACTTGGTTAGATCTTAGGTTAGACATGGCTTCGGTGACCATCTTTTGGGGAGGCATATGTTCAATGTTAGATGGTGACGATGACAATGGTTTTATATAAAAATGCTCTCTAAAAAATATTAAGGAAGAAATGTTATGCGCTTTCAGGATGCCACTAAGGAAAATCAGATTGAAGGTGTGGTAAAGAATGTGAAGTGGCAGATGTCGGCGGACCGCAAGGTGGGCGCGCTCAAGCAGCTGCAAGGGCTGATCTGGAAGCAGGGCTACGATCGCGGCGATATTAAGGGCCAGTAAGTTTATATTGTGAAATTTAAACGCGTAATTCCCGTGGTGAAACTTTTAAGAATTTAATTGAACAGTTCATCAAACAGTAATGCACCTATTGCCGACCATAAAAATAAATGCAAGAAATTTAGACAGTTAAATCAGGTGACAAGCTCAATCTAATTCATCCTCTACTTACTGCTATTTTAATTAAATATGAGCTAGTTACTAAAACATTGACTGAAATTGGTTTACTCAAATATGACCTGGGTGATTATACTTGGTACTTGGTGTAACGGGCTAGTCTGCCACTCTACGTCAATGCGCCTATTTTGCATGTGGTGGGTGGGTCCTACTCGTGCCTTAGCTCCTCCAGGAGCGACCTCGGCATTCCAAGATACTTCGCCCTGTAGTTGGCCACACAGTTAATTAATTTTCGAGATAGATTGGCGTTGAGCGTTGAGAGTGCTTCCCTCGCCTGTCTACAAACCGTAAGGCTAGTCCATGTGTTGTAATGAGAAGATTTAGTGCCTGTGTATTCAGTTATTCTGAACCATTGGTAAGGGACACTATGGGTTCTGGTCCTGTAGCGTCCGTCTCCGACCCTTTTCTGGCTAGTTCATCTGCTGCGTCATTGCCACGTGAGCCGCTATGTCCTTTAATCCACTGTAGAGTTACGTGGTTGTGTATACAAACCTCCATGTGTGATTGATGGCATTCATAAATGAGCCCTGAGTTTGTCATAGGTGTTCAGTGCTTGAAGTAATGACATGCTGTCGGAGAGTATTCAAATGGAATGTTTCTTTACTTTTCGCGCTATGATTGCTTCTGCCGCTAACTTGATTTAGCGACTGAGCTTCTGGTAGAATGCTCGCCTGCCGGTTGATTATATATACCACATTAACATTTTGGTACAATGCACGGGTTTAGACATGAAAGTGCAGTCTTTTGTCTGTAATCGTGACTGTGATATATTAGGTTGTAATGTATTGGTTCTCACTTTGTTCCAGCGTATACGACGACGTGTTACCAGCTCTCGAGCAATGGTGCTCATCGGACGAGCAGAAGGTGTACATTTACTCTTCAGGCTCCATCCAGGCTCAGAAGCTGCTCTTTGGACAATCCTTGGCTGGAGACTTGCTGCGCTTCATCGATGGGCATTTTGATACCGCGGTGGGACCCAAGCAGGATCCCAAAAGTTACGAGAATATTGTCGAGAAGATTGGCTGCAAACCTGAAGAGGTTTTGTTCTTGACAGATATTGTGAAAGGTGAGTTAGTAGTTC